GACTGCCGGCGCTGAGGCGGCAGGCCCGGAGACGCGTATTTTGGCGTTGGTTTCCTCGTTTCTCCTGGGAAAGCCTTTAAGCATCGGGAATTAGTCTTTGCCTGACACTTTCTGTGCTGGGTGGGCTGGTGCTGGGGGCAGAGGGGCAGGCTGTGGTGTCTGGGTGTGCCCTTCTGCAGCTGCCACCTGTGCCTGGGGAGGACCCGCACCGCCGCTGCGCTCTGGGGTGCTCAGCTCCGCTGCCTGCCGCTCCAGCGCCTGAAACCGCGGCAACAGTTCGCGGTGTTTCTTCCCCGCAGCAGAAAGAGTGCGGATTGACGGAGGTTGGGCCGGGAGCTGGAATGCTCCCGCCATGCGATCCCTGCTGTGGGCTGGGAGCCTGGTGCTGTGTCCCCGTGGGCTGGAGGTGACTCTCAGTTAGGAATCGACTCCGCGGAACGGCCAGCGGCTGCACGTCATCTCATCACAGAGCTGCAAAAGCTGGAACTTGTCCATGCCCGGTTTGCTGCCTTAATGCGATCAGACAGCAGGGCTGTGGGGAGCGTACCACAGCCGTCTGGGGACAGAGCTTTCCCAGAGTTCAGGAGACCCAGGGGAGACCAGGAGCCATCTTTATAAAGAGTTCTTTTAGCACTGACCTGGGAATTTCCATCCCATCATTGCCCTGTGGGAACCGCTGCGTGACTGCTTTTTCCAGGGCTTTGTCAGCCCAGTTTTACATGATGAAATTTGGCCTTGTTCTGTCCTTCCAAAGCTAGGAGTGGTGGTTCCTGAACAAAATCCTGCTTCTGAGAGTGGTTCTGCACCAAAAACATGCATGGGCTTTTGTTCTCCCTTTCCTAGGGTCAAACTGATTAAAAATCTTTGTTCTGCAAGGTGCTAGATACAGCTCATAAAATGAAGAACTGGTTGGCACAGCTCTTCATTCCACAGCCGTGTGACCTTGTCACCTTGACACCTTGTCAGTGTCTGAGTGCTGGCTGTAGTTTTTCCTCCTGTGTGTTTTTCTAAAGACAATTTTATTTCACTTTCTCTCTGTATATTCTATTTGTTGTTAGATGATGAAGACTCAACCCAAAAGGCAGAGCCTGCGGACCAGCTGGTTGATTCTTTGGAGTCCAGTACTTCGCAGAGCAGGTAGGACAATATTTTTGTCTGTTGTGGCCCACGTGCATGACAGTCTGTTTCAGCCCTGTGACCTCTCTGTATGGCAGTTGGTTCTGAGCAGGTGAAGAGAAAGGAGACTGAATTGTGTGCTTTGGGACGGTATATACAGGAATCAGTATAGTAGGGGCTGTTGTTGCAGGCTTAATGTTTTAAAGCTTATGAAATGATGAAGAGGCTCAGCTCTTCAAATCACAGAATCATTCAGCTTGGAAGAAGCCCTGTAAGGTTTTGTAGTCCATTGTAAGATCTGATAAACTTTCACCAGGAAATTTTCTCTGTTCTGTCTGAAGGATACTTTAATAATTAAGCATTCCCACTGCCAAAAATTCTGGTGAATGCTGAGCAAGAAAACACTCTTTACTGTTTTATTGACAATGTTTTGGGTTGTGTTTTTTTTCCTTCACCCTTTGTTTTCTATGTCACTCCTTCATTAATGCTGCTGGTTGATGCTGTTATCAGATTTTGGCTTGTTATCTGTTTGGCATGTAGTGCTTGTGGCCAAGTCATTGTATTGGTTACAAGTACCAATACGATATGCAGCGGAGTGTCATTTGCCATCATACATCTGTCGTGCAGGATACAATTTCAGATGTGTGAGTTGTTTATATCAGACAGTAGATGAAGCACAACCTCATTGAAAAAGGGGGAAAAAATCCAGCAAAAAAACCCACCACCAAACTACCCTACTTCCGAAAACAGCAGCTTGATAACATCTTGGCTTGATGTCAATGACATCCGTATCAGCCTTCCAAACGTGTTCTTCCATCTCTTTATTACGTCCTCTAATTTTCCTCAAAGAGATTAATATAGACTGTGAGCAAAAGAGGCCAGAGTAGATGCTGGATATTTGTGGATGCTATCTCATAAATTTGTGTAAGTTAGATCCTCTTTGAAAGGGATGGGGGTGGTCCAAAAGGCTTGTGCGAGGAGGAATCAGCTGAACTCTCTGTAAGTCTGCTTATAAAGCTTGTGGAGCTCTTACTAATCTTTCAGTGAGTTTCTTGGCCTTCAGTGGTGTCTGGAGGAAAAAATTCCCAAGCTGTTAGCTCCTATGCTGGTGGGAAGACTTCTGAGCAGATATGTGCACCTATGGTAGCAAATGACCAAATAACCCTTCTAGGTGTGATCATGCAACTCCTAAGCTAAAAAGCAAACGGGCTGGGAAATGATGGCATTGAAGTCCAAATTTGTCCTGGGCTGCCAGAGAAATTGCTACAGATCACTGTGAGAGTTTTTCCTTTCAAAATTTGTCCTCTCCAAGTGTCCCTTCTTGTCTTACATTGTCCATATGCTGCCATTTTGTGTATTCAGCTCATTTGAGTTGTTCTTGCAGACCTTCAGGCCCATCATGCTGTTTCTAGGAAAGGAAGTCACACTGTTGAGACAATTTAAGTAAGAAATGACTTTATTTCTGACTAAAATCTGTCTCCCCCTTGGTAAAGATTCGGAAACAAAAGCCATATTTGCCCTCTTCTAGTCTTCCCTATGGATGCAGCAAGGAATGTGTCTGACTTGACCTGTGTATGTGGATTTTTTTAAACTATTCCACACTGTACTGGTAGTCTGCTCCCTTGCTGATGAGACTATGTCTCATTTCTGAAAGGAGACATTTGAGGAAATGCACATAATTTCCATTACTGCTGTATTCTCATATTTTTGATCTTTTAGACCAAGGCAGTTGACATTGGTTTTATAGTTCTGTGAGAAGACTTTGCTTTTCAAAAGGGCAACTGTTTCTATTCTTGTTAAAGACTAGGTTGCTTCTTATGGAATTTTCACATAGCGTTTGAGAGTATGACAGAGGAGACCTCTGGCATCTGTCTGAGTCCGCTTGGGATGATAAGTGATTCCTCTGCTGGCTGTGCCCTGTGTGCAGGTGCTGAATTGTAGTGCTCTCTTCCTCCAAAAGGTCGCAGATTGGGTCACTTGTGAGTGCAGGTGCAACACAGGATTCGAAGGAAGAAGCTGGCACTTTGGAGAACCAGGATGTGGCTGAACTAGAAAAGAAGCTGCCTGACCAAATCCAGTCCCTCAAAGAGGTAGGTGGGTGTTTCATATGTCCAAAAGCAAGGACAGAGGTGCAGCTGTAGTTCTTCCATCCTAGTGCTGTGCTTATGGCTATTGGACTGAGGCTTTAAGGATTGCATTAAGACAGAAGTAGTGTTAACATAGATTCACTTATGGTTTTTTTCTATATGTTAAGGGAGGTAAATGTTATCAATCAGATTTGCAAAATCCCTCTTATGCCTTCAGCTAGTCCTGGCTTCCTTGCAGTTTTTGGCTCGCTAAGGCTTCAAGGTTTTTCTCACCTTCTGCCTCTTGTCTGGGGCTGCTGGGAGTTCCCTTCTTGCAGATTTATGAAAGTGACTCTGCTGTCTTTTGTTTCTTTTGGTGAGCAGCCAATTTGTTTGCATGACAGATACAGTTGGGAAAACCTCTGCAAGTGGCACCCAGCACAGGAGCTGTGAGTTTGCATATATGAGGAGAGAGGGCTGGTCCTGGTGAACCAGATGGACTTTTAACAAGGATGCAGCAAATGACAGTTTGATTGTGGCTGTAGTCTAGATGCACACAGAGCTGAAGGGATCTCCCCTGAGAGATTGTCTTGGGAATGCTTTCCAAGAGTAGTCAACGAAACCTGTAAGGCTGTTGCTTTGTTGAGAGGTGACAATTAACTCTGAGGCAGATGCAAAGGTGCACCTGCCCAGGGACTCCTGGGAAGGCCAAGGGGTGCGTAATTTGTGAGATTAAAACAGCATTTGACTTCAAAATTAATTCCTTTGGTGCTGTGAGGGTAATAATGCCGAGAGGTGTCTCGGAGCCAGCCAGTTCTTTTTAACTGAGAAGCTTCTGCAGGGTCTGTCTTGGCTTCAGAAAGATGCCTGAATGTCTAATGAGTTATTTTAAATCCAGCTGGGGATTTTGTTACCATGATCGTCTTTGTGATTATTTCTTATGGGCTTTGTGCAGGAAGCTGTTCTTCGAGTACCCAACTACCATGTCCTTCAAGGAGCAGGGGATATAGTCATGATTCAGTCAGATCACACTGGTGCTGTGGATATCCTTTCAGCTGAGCTGGAAACTACAAACCTCCTTGGGGAACAGAGGAAAGGTGAGTCCTGAAAGGAAAACACTTGTTGGGACCGCTTTAAGTGCCTACCTTGGCTAGAGAAGATCAGAGGTTGTCCTGGAGACAATGCTAATTCCTGATGGAAATTTGGGCTCTTCGCTAACAACAGGGAAAACTTCACATCCAGGGCTTCTGGGAGCAGGTTCCAGAATGGAAAAGCCTTATCAGAAATCGCTTAACTGTTTTCAGGTAACAGTTTGTCAGTAGGGAAGAGTCCAGTCAGCCCACAATCTTTTTCCTTGTCTCAGCTCAGCCTCCCCCTCTGGCTCCACCCACCATGTGGACCACTGAGAAGACGAAGGAATTCAAAGCCAAGATAGGAAAGGAGAAGAACGGCCGGATGGTGGTGAAGCGAGGCGAGGTGGTGACGGTCCGTGTGCCAACCCATCCTGATGGGAAATGCATTTGCTGGGAGTTTGCTACGGATGACTATGACATTGGGTTTGGAGTGTACTTTGACTGGACCACGGTTACTAGCACTGCCATTACTGTTCAAGTCAGCGAATCCAGCGATGAGGAGGATGAAGAAGAGGAGGAGGAAATTGAAGGTTGGTGCAGGGCTTATAAGGGTTAATTTGTGGTGCTTGTTGCCATGCTGCTGAGAGTGACTGTCAGATGCTGTAATTTCCATCTACTTTGTTTACTCAATCCACTTGTTATCTCTGCAGCCTTTTGGGTTCTTGGTTAGGCTGTGATGAGAAAGCATTTAGCTCTTCCGGCTTCAGCATATGTCAGTGGCTGTCCTCCAAGAGTGTGAATACAGTGAAAATTAAAAATGGAATTTACTTGTTCAACTTCTAGCTGATAAAAAGATTAGGATCTGAAATTTTGACTCTTTTTCTTAGCCTCTCAGACTGTGAAATTTCTGGTGGTGAGTAGGAGCAAAAGGGATTTGTTTCTGAGGTTTTGTTGGTTTTTGTTGCTTTTTTTTTTCCTCTCCAGTACATCAGTAGCTCCTGATGATGATTCCTGAGAGGATTGCTACCTGTGTCTTCGTACTTGTGAAACACACAGTGATCTTGCCTGTTCTGTGGCTTCAGTGTCTGTGTGACCAGTGTAGCTGGAGGGTTGGTGCCTGAAATTAATTTTGCAGGCCCTCCAAAGAGGGGTGGGTTTATGTATAAGGAATCCTCTTGAGACATGAACTAGGACAGAAACACAGTGAGGCTGTAGCTAAGAGCTTTCTTGCTGTTTTGTTTTGTATTGTGTGAGGTTTTTTGTTTTGTTTTGTTTTTCTTCGAGTCTGTATCACTGGACTGCTGTTGTGTGTATCAAAGCAGCGAGGTGTCTAAAAGGTAAGTCTAGGGAGAGGAGACCAGGCTGGCAGGCAAGTGGATACTGTCCTATCAGTATACTCAAGAGAACTGGTTCTCAGCTTATCCTTTGTCATGATAAGCTGGACTTTGTGGGTATTAATTGCAGGAAGGTCAAAGCAGATGCTACAAGTAATTCTATCATGGTTTGCCTTCCATATATCTGCATGCTTATTTATCTTTTTCTGGATTACCTAGTGGCTTAACTGGCTCTGTACTACTTGTCTCCTCTCTCCTATTCAGGACTTGCCCCTGTTGGTGATGTGGAAAGGGGCTCCAAAAGCTACCTGCGGAACCGCTACGGAGAGATCATGCCTGTGTATCGGAGGAACAGCCATCGGGAGGTGCAGGCAGGCAGTCACGAGTACCCAGGCGAGGGCATCTATCTGCTGAAATTTGATAACTCGTACTCTCTCCTCCGCAATAAGACTCTGTTCTTTCATGTCTATTACACCAGCTGAAGGAACAGGAAGGGGCAGGGATGGCAGGCAGGTAATGGTGAGTGTAGCAAGCTGCCACCCAGCCCTGGTACGGCTTGACGGGCACTGCTGTGTGACAGAAGCAAGGCACAATTCTGCCGGCTCCTTTTCAGACACTAACTGGTTTCTTCCCACACCCTCCTTCCCTGCTGTCCTAGTGGAGAAAGGTAGTTGTGACTGCCTGGTTGTCCACAGGCAGCTGTTCTTTCTGTAAAACTTTGGGAGGTCTGCTCTCTGCAGGCATCGGGCTGGGCCTTCATGTCACAGCTGATAAATGGCCAGAGGCCAGGTTCAGGTGGTCTTGATTTTGATCTGTTACGCTGGTACGACATGAAGTGGAAATATCTGTTACTATTTTGTAAGTAGCTTTTCTGACTCTCCCGCTGCATCTGCATCACTAGAGGGCAGCTGTCAGCTGCAATGAGCCAAAAGCACAGCTGGCTTGTCACCTAGCCACTGAATCTCATCACCTGCCTGGTCTGCCTGTCACCAGCAGCTCATGCTTCCTTCACTCGTGTGGGTGGGGGTGCAGCTGGCCAGTGGCAGCCTGTGCTGCAGTGGCTAGGCCATGCTCCAACAGGTGGGGCCCCAAATGTGTTTGAACAGGGGGTGGGGGGAGGGTGCACACCCAGAAGTTCATAAGAAGGTTTTCCTACAGATTAAAAATTGGATGTTAAACCTGTTGATTGTAGGGATGTGTAGATGATTAAAACTTCAGCGACCACCGAAAGTCTTTTCTGTAATCCAGATGTGAAGCAGAAGGACTTACTGCTGTGCTGAGTAAATACAAAAAAAGCTGGGGTACGACCAATAAACATACAGGAAATGTTTCTTAGTAGCAGCATGTTGGTTCACTGGTACTGCTGCCAGCTGGATAATACCATATGTAGCAAGGAAAAGGCTCCCCAGAGAAGTGTAGCTTGTGAGCTGCTGTGCAAAGGTATTGTTAGAAAAAAAACATCTCTGCTCAGAAACTCGAAAGATTTAACCTGTCGTTTCTGTGAACCAGACTCAGCAAGGCCATTGCTAACCCCAACCATGCGGTGAAGGATGGGCTTCCTCAATGTTCTGGTGGCTAGCGATGGCATTTGTGAGCTGCTCGAGTACTGGCAGGGTAGAGCAAGGATTAAGTTAATCCTTCAGAGATGAATTTTAAATAATGTTTATCTGTAACTGTTGTTTATTTTAATACTTTTAACTTGAAATCCTTCTCTTTTCTAAAAATACCACTGTATTTACATTTTGATACCTCTTTGCAGAGACACAAAATGGCTGTTTGCATGGTGATTCTAGTAGAGTTCTGAGTTTTATTTTTAAATCCTCCAGGTAAAACACCTCTACTTGGTCCGTTCCTTCTATTGGGAAGGAAATGATGGACAACGTTATTTAGGGGTAGTTAAAGCCAAAGATTTCACTCTTGTCGGAGGGCCACATATTTCCTATTAAGGCTGCACTGTAATGCTGTGCAATTTCCTCCATATTCAACCTCTTTTAACTATCTCTGCTTACTTACTCACTGCCCCAGAGCACTTAGTAGGTCAAAATGTTAAGAAAGTGAGCAGTCAGTCTGCAGCAGAGCAGCCCAAGCTGGGAGCAGGAGGAATAGAAATGCAAACACTGGTTGAAGCACAGTGGCTTTCTGAATAGGCAGGCAGGGGCAGAGCTGGTAAGGGTAAGGAGTGGTGGTGTTGCTGCTTTGGGCCCTGAGGTGGGGCAACAAGCATACAAGCAGAGGCAACTGCAGGACAAGCAGGGAGAGGGCTTGGTATCTGTCAGAGTAAGATGCTCTCATTCAGCAGCTTGGGTGGGAGTATTCCTTTAGCCTCTCTTGGGGGAGATAAGGACCATCCAGTGGCCTTTGTGCAGCACTTGAATGGGGCCTCAGCAACTTGGGTTGGGTGCACTTTTTTTTCCTCTTTCCATCCTTTGTATATCAAGTTCCTAGACACTAGACAAAAGAAGACAGAAAAGACCCTTCAGTCTGGCCACGGTATCAGCACTGCCCTGCTCAGTGACTGCCTTTGGTCCTTTCCTCCGAGATCTGCAGAACCCTGCGTGCACTTGCTGGTTAATGTACGATGCTCTGTCTGGCACCCGCTATACTTTCAGATTAGGATTTATTTACGGTGAAGGCAACTCTGACCTGTGTATGCATTAGATGTTTCACAGTTACTGATCCTCAGTTGCACAGCTTATCGCAGGCTAGTGGGTTATCTCCACTAAAACCCCCTTTCTCTTACAGTGTGGCCTTGGGCTTGTTAACTTGCAGCTACTTTCCCCCCACCCAGGTCTGTCTGTTGCTCATATTAAGGTTTGAAATACATTTTGTAGTGCTGTAAGAAGTTCCTAAGGTCTGCCTCACAACCAGTTCTGATCACTCACTGACACATAAATAGTGTGTGCCACTTTTCAAGCCATTAGTTTAGTGGTTTTAGTTAAGATCAGTTGCACTGTAGTTGGTAATCCTGTCGCTTAGTTCTGGCTCTCTGAAGTGAGGACCGGTGTTTAATAAGGCTCAAGTCACTGATTTGGAGCTGTGCCTGGCTCCGAGGCTCATTGACTTAAGCCCAGCAGCAGCACTGAATACAGCACGTCACCCCAATCGGCACGTGCCCGGTCTGCAAATGCAGCGTGCCCAGAGCTGGGCCTGCTGCAGTGGAGCTGAAAGCATTCGGTGTGTGGTATTGCGCTGCTTAAGGTTCCCAGAAGTACCTGGTATCTCTTAGGAACACAAGATGGCTTTAGGCACAGAATATTTCATCTGCAGGAAACAGAAGCTTCACAGTTGTACAGGATCATTCCTCTTGTTTTAAATTTTCACATTACGTGACTATGTTGTTTCTCAGCATTCGTTATCCAAGTGACGACTTCTCTTTGGAAGGATATATAGACTTTATTCTTTTTCTGGTAAATCCAATAGCTTGGCTGTGTGGATAGGGATTAAGAGCAGTCATTCCGATTGAAAACTGAACTCGCAGTTAGTTCAAAGTAGCAGTCTTATTTTTCATGCGTCCTTTTTTCAGTTTGGTGTATCTCCTGGGCTTGTATCCAGTCCTGCTATCTGGCTGCGGCAGTGATGGAAACCCTTATTGTTTTAATTTGAGATCTTTGGAACTAACCCTTAGGTCTAGAAAGAAAAATGAATTAATAAGGCAGTTGCACTTCAGAGAGGGAAATTAATCCTCACGAAAGGAAAAGTTCTTTGTTTCTGTGGAAGATTTTTAGATAGGTTTTAAAAATGTGTTTCTGCTCCCTGTAAATTGTCTAAAAATTAAAAAAAGCTAAATGCAAGCCTCTTTTGCACTTTGAGTTTGCTTTTGTGAAAGCGCAAAATTGCTTTCCATTTTGTTCTGAATGTAATTTTAGATCTAGAAATAAGATTTACATGTTCAGCCAGAGATATGAGACAGTCCTTGAGTGCAGGACTTGTCTAAAAATAGCTTGTATAATTTTTTATTTATAGTAATGGTAAGAATCTGGTTCTTTGTTTCTGTGGAAGGAAGATTTTTAGATAGGTTTTCAAAATGTGTTTCTTCTCCCTGTAAATTGTCTAAAAATTAAAAAAGCTAAATGCAAGCCTCTTTTGCACTTTGAGTTTGCTTTTGTGAAAGCGCAAAATTGCTTTCCATTTTGTTCTGAATGTAATTTAGATCTAGAAATAAGATTTACATGTTCAGCCAGAGATATGAGACAGTCCTTGAGTGCAGGACTTGTCTAAAAATAGCTTGTATAATTTTTTATTTATAGTAATGGTAAGAATCTGGGCATTTTTTTAATGTCAAAGAAGGTCATAAGCTCTCCATTGTTTTTTGTTGGGTCATTCCCCCCCCCCTTTAGGTATAATGTAGCAGCAGGAGTTTAAAACGTATGTGTTTTACTGAGGACAGAGTTAAAATTGCTTAAATTGGGGACTGCTTGTACTCAATTTACTCACATGCTCTTTGGAGGGCCTTAATAGGGATTTTTGTGGAAGGTTATTGGTGTCAGACATAGGCCAGTTGCAAATTAATGCTTGGGACCCATTTAATAGTTATGTCGATTGTTATTGGTAGTGAGCTGTTTGCATGAACAGGTAAGGATGAAAATGCATAAGAGAAAGAGCTCAGCTGTCTGACTTCAGGTGCTAAGAAGGAAGTTGAGTTACTATGCAACTGAGTCTAAAAGACAGCCCCATGCCTTTCTTTTTGGCTCTACCCTGTGTACTTGTCTCCTTGTAACTGTGTGTGTGTGTAAACTTCATCTGTGGGCTGCAGTGGGTCAGTTCTGGTGGCGCTGGACCTGGTTAGAGGTGAACCTTGTCACATCTCTAGTTGCTGGAAGACTTACTGATTGTTGTGGGGAATTAGGGTAGAGGATGAATCCCTAAGTGAGTTCCCTTTTATCCCCACTGCTTATACCCTTCCTTCTTGTCTTGCTACCCCTACTGAAGCCACTCTACCAGAGGATTTATCACAAGGTGCCTTAGGAACAAAGAGCACGTCTGAAATAAGAGCCATAGATGCCATTAATCCAAAGGATTTCTTCTCCTTGTTTCTCTGTTTGGGTAGAGGGGAGGCACTTCTGAGGTCAGGCAAGAAGAGCCCCTAGAGGCTGTTCCTGGAGATTTAAGCTGTTCATTAGACTGCCTTGTTGCTGTAAGAGGAGTAGTAGAGTTGTGTTTGAGTTTCCTGGTGCCATAAGGTCTTTGCCTTTTAAAATCATATGCTGCTGTCAGATACTGAGGAACACCAGAGGACTGCTCCTTTTGAGTAGTTTTGCTGATGCTAAACCTGAGGCCCAGAGGAACACTGGATAGACACAGAAGAGCATTCCTTGTGGCCATTCATCATTCTCTCTAAAAAGTGTCTGAATCCAGCATTGAGAGTGGTTTGTGCTCGTGTGTATTGAGGCTGGATAAGAGACCAAAGCAACAAAGTGGTTTTTATCTACAAGTGTGAAAGAAAAGACTGTTTCTCCTTTTCTCATCTCTGGAAAAATAGTGGATGTGACAGTGTCACGTAAATGTAGCAGAACATCTCAATTGGTAGAATGAAAAACTGGGAACTGATGGTGTTAAATACATTGGCTAATTAGACTGTGCAAGAAGCCAAGAGTTTAGCAGGAGTCAAAGTGCTAAGTCATTTATCTGAGTAAGTTGATTGCCAGTAAAAACCAATTAAATAAAGTTTTAGAAGGTACTTAAAACTGCAGACTTCAAATATATATTGCTAGGAGGAGAATTCTCTGTGGAGTTATTCCACATTTGCCTCCAAAGAGTCTCTGGCAGCTTATTCTGAAACACTGGTGCTGTTGCAGCTGAAGACGCAACGTCAGGCTGGGTGGACGTGGGTCTGACTCCCCTTGGCTTTTCTGTGTTCTGTTCTGGATT